TCACCTCGTCTTATTGCTTGCCTATCTGCATGCCATCACACTCTACCTCACAGGCCAGCCTATACCCCTCGAGCCAAATCAATGTTGCGTTTGCGCACCCTCAAGGACGCCACATGCACTCGCACTCGGTCCGCGCAGCGTCGAAAAAAACGGAGGAGAAGGACGAGGAGGATGAGGAGGAGGAGGAGGAGGGGAAGGGGAGGAGGAGGAAGACGTGGTGGAGGAGGAGAATGAGGAGGAAAAGGAAAAGGAGAGCCACATGGAGGAGGAACATGATGAATATCATAACGAGAATGAGAAGAAACAGGCGAAGGAAAGGGAGACGGAACAAGACAAGGATGAGGAGGAGAAAGAGAAGACAAAGGAGAAGGATAAGGAACAGGAACATGGAAAGGTCACGGAACATGATCAGGCGCATGAGAAGACCACGGGAAAGGAAAAGGAGAAAGACACGGGGAAGGGGAAGGGGAAGGCGAAGGGAAGAAATAATTGGAGAAGGGGAAGGATAAGGAGAAAGACAAGGAGGAGGAGGAGGAGGAGGAGGAGGAGGAGGGAAGGAGGAGCAGGAGGAGGAGGAGGAGGAGGAGGACCTCATGTTTGGGACCTCATGTTTAGCGTCCGAAGTGGTCATGCGTCACGCCGCCTAAGACGAGGAAGTGGCCACGGGCACGCAGGGCCAGCTTGGGGTAACAGCCGACGGGCACGTGGGAACGCGGTCCGCGCTGACACTGGGTGAGGTATCTGATCTCAAACCCGAAGATCCCCGCCCGGGAACTGGGCCCGAGACCCCATGGGAGTCACGTGCCACACGGCACCACCCCTCCCGGCCCGGAATTGCACGATCATTGCTGCAGCTGACGCCGCGGCGGTGGGCCAAGATTTAGACTTCACTGACCAGGACGCAGGGGAACCACACTCATTCCTATCCTAAAATAGACGGCCGCCTTCCCGCTCCCGCATCACATCCGAGCTACCTGACAGTGTGCCCGGGAGCAAGTGTGGCACTGACACCATGGGAACAGGCCTCCGTTCGGGGCGAGGAGCATGAGGAGGAAGAGGACGAGGAGGAGGAGGAGGAGGAGAAAAAGGCGAACTAGGGGGAGGAGGAGGAGGAGGAGGAGGAGGAGGAGGAAGAAGAGGAGGAAGTTGAGGAGGAGGAGGAGGAGGAGGAGGAGGAGGGGGAGGATGAGGAGGAAGGGGAGGAGGAGGACGGGGAAGGGGAGGGGGGGGAGGAGGACAAGCTAGGTGCGCTCGCGTTTCACCTGTCGTCATGCCTCTCCGTCCCAACCCTTACCATGGCGCAAATCTCCTCTTTATGCGCATAGGCTGATGTCGAGCAAGGCAATGATCCCGAGAGGGTTTGCGATGCATGGTAAAGCACGGCATAGCATGGTGTAGAAGATCGCGGCAGAGCAAAGCATGTCATAGCATGGCTTGGCATTGCGTAGTGTCGCATTGCATCACAAGCTGTAACATCGCAAAGCATGGCATCGCACAGCGGAGCACAACGCAACATCGCATTGCATGCTATGGCATGGCACCGGATGCCTTGGAGGGTAAATGGCCCGTGTATGAAAAGAGGAGGCCTGTCCATGATCCCGGCTCCGAGTCCTGCGAAGCCGTGCCTGCCTGATGTGTGCCGTCTGGTAGGGGTACTGTAATAGTGTAAGGCCCACCCTCCTTTCGACACGCTGCCTTGCGTTCCCCGAGCCCCCTTCCAAGTCTCCCTGGGTCCCCCGGACAGCTCTGCACGAGGCGTGGCGGATGGTCTGAAGACTTCTGGAAGCTCCAGGGAACGCACAGAAATTGCCGACGGCGACAACGACGCAGACGACGACGGCGGTTGCGGCGGGGGAAGCTGCGGCGGGCGAGGGCGGATGTCAGAGAATAGTACGGCGGGCTGCCAGTCTCGATGGTCTGGCTTTCTTGAACCATCGGCTCACACGGGTCCCCTGGGCCCCTCACGGGGTCCAGTCGCATCGGCGTTTTCCAGCGGGATCGGGATTTTTGAAGTTCTTGGGGCCCGACGAAAGGGGGGGAGGCTTTTGCGGCTCAAAGAATCTACGAATCGGCACCGGATGTGTAATCATTTCCGATGGTTTGTTCGGGGGGGCATTTTCAAGTTTTTGGGGCCGATTTGGAAGGACCGACAACCATGCCATGGCATGGCGCTGGAATAATAACGCCAGCGCTGCAGCGGGAGCACGATCCGGCATGAGCGGAAACGCAGAAATGACGCCAGCGTTTCAGAGGGAGCACGATTCGGAGGACGCCTATCCTGACATAGCATGGCGTGGCGACGCCCCAAAGTGGTGGGGGGGAAATCAACGAATCGGCACCGAATGTGTAATCACCTCCGATGGTTTTTTCGGGGGGCAACTTTTGGGGTCTATTTGGAAGGACCGAGAACTATGCCGTGGCATGGCGCTGGAAATAATGACGCCAGCGCTGCAGCGGGAGCACGACTTGGAACGAGCAGAAGCGCGGAAATGAAGCCAGCGCTGCAGCGGGAGCACGATTCGGAACGAGCGGTAGCCGAAAAAGGAGGCCAGCGCTTCAGCGAGGGCAGCATTTTGACACAAGACCCAAGCTTAAACTCGTTTCCTGGTAATCTTGTTTGTAAAAAGCCCGTACGCGGAGGGAGCCCGAATATTTCCCGGACGTCACCAGGGGATATAAGTATTCATGTGGTGTTATTTTGGAGGACGAGGAGGAAGAGGAGGCGGAGGCTGAGGAGGAGGAGGATGGGAGGAGGAGGAGGAGGAGGAGGAGGAAGAGGTTGATGAGGAAGAAGGAGAGGAAGAAAAGGAAGAAGAGGAAGAGAAGGAAACATAGGAACCAGAAGAAGAGAAGGAGGAGGAATAATATGAATAATGGTACACATACGTATAGACATATGATGAATAGTACTAATACACATATGAAGAATTCTGGTACTACTAAGACAAATCATACGACTAATACTACTAAGACCATTATTTCCAAGTAGCATAACATATCGAATACTGATAATACGATTATTACGTGTGCTAAGAATAATTCCCATACTAATAATCATCATGTTGATGATATTAAGAACCATAATGCTAATACCAAATGTTGAATACTGCCACGAAGATGGTGACTAATTCGAATAGTAAGAACCAATGATACAGTAATACTATTAAGAATCAAAAGAATGATACTCATACTAGCAATAATAATAGCAGTCCGAATAAGAGAAAGAAGAGGATGAGTAGGAGGAGGATGAGGAAAAAGAAGAGGAATATCAGGAGTCAGAGGACGACTGCTCACGGGCCGCACCCCCCACCACCCCTTTCCACGCGCGCCCGCGGCAGCCGCACTCCTCGCAAAGCACCTGCCCGTTCCTGTGCCTCGGCCGGGTCCAAGCCGCCCCGCCGCTCCGCGCGACCCGATGCCCAAGGCCGCCGTGCCCGCTCCGCCGGAGGCCGGCGAGGAAAGAGCGGAGGAGGAGCAGGGAGGAGGCAGGAGGGAGGAGGGGGAGGAGGAGCAGGAAAAGGAGGTGGAGCAGGAGGAGGAGGTTGCCCCCCTCCGAATCTCTCTTTCTCTCTTTCTTTCTCCCTCTCCGTTTCCCATTGGCGTATTGATCGGCGAAGTCCCCCAGGTTTTGCCGGAGTTTCCCGATAATCTTGGGAATAGACCGGCATCGGACGACCGCCAGACGCCTTTTTGCCTCCCTCTCTTGGACGGCGTACCACAATTCTGCCCAGTACTCGCTGGCCACATTGATGCGCCCTTCATCCTGGCGGTGCCGCGCCGATGCAAGAATCGGCGCCAACGGGGCCATGGCCGCTTCTTCTCGAGATGCCCATGTCCCCAACTGCGGAGTATACCCGACAGCGTGGAAGCCGCATTGTGGATCCCTCGAGAGCGTCGCGTTGTCGTGCGCACCGCCTGGAGCAAGGCATCCAGCAGGGGGCCTTGCAGGTGTCTGCACACTTTTAAATACGTCGCAGCGCGGCAGAGTCAGTCCGCACGCACATTCGGCAAGCTGGGCCACGGCATTGCGAATTGTCCCGAATGCAAGAGAGAGGGAGAAGAAGACGGACGGCCGCAGGACAGACAAAGCGGGGGAAGCTTGCGCACTCACGCGGCGAGGCTGCAGCGGGGCGCCGGGGGGCTGCCGAGCCGGTGCAGCAGCCCCTGGCAGCGGGCGCGGGACGGCATCACATCCGCACCAAGGGGTGGGTACAGCGGCTGCAGTGCAGGGTCGAAGACCTGCAAGTCGGAAAGGAGGCCAGAGCAGCAGTGGCGGCGGCGGCCCCAGCAAACTGGGGGGGCAGCTGCGGTTGCTAACGGGCTGTGCAGGTGGGCTGCAGTGCCTGACTGGGGGCGTATGATGGCCCGCTGGGGTAGGCGACACAGCGGTAGCGCAGGTACGGGGCGCGTCCGCAGCGCGAGCCAGGGCGGGGGGTCCGGAGGTAAGGGCGGGCAGAGAGACCGGGCGAAGCCGGGACGGCTGGTGGAGACCGCGAGATTCGGGCGGTCGCGGGAGTGGCAGCTTGTGAGCCACGCAAAAGGCCGCGGGCGGGCAGAGCGGGGGGAGCAAAGAGGCAGCAGAGCCAGGCCCAGGCTGGTGCACGCATCATAGCCGTGGAGGGGCGGCGCCCAGCCGAAGTGGAGGCAGGGCGAAGGCTCCGGGCGCCGAGCCGCCGGGAGGCAAAAATGGGAGGGCAGCGATTGAGCGGTGTCCCCCAAGTTGAGGCAGACCCAGCGCCACCGAGCACGCACCCCAGGCCAGTAGGCGCAGGGGCGTGTCTGACAGGCCCCGCCAGCCCGTGTGGCGGCGTATGCGCCAAACGGAGCCTGGGGGAGGCGGGACACCAGGCAGACTGCGCGGGAGGCGAATGCGCCACCCGGGATGGGCGGTGCGCGCATGTCGGGACGAGAGGCGCACCACCACCTGGGATGGATGGCGCGCCCCTCCCAGGGAGAAACCAGGGCCACCTACCAGTACGCAAGTGTGTGCCGAATCCTTTCTGGCATGGCGTTTGCCCACGCCTGCTCCTCCCCCGTCTGCACGAAGCGCTGGCGCCAACTCTGCAGCTTCGCCCACTGCTGTCTCTGGAACTCCAGCAGGCCAGCGCCCAACCTGGAGCGAAGAGCCGCGGCGTCCCTGATGGACTGTTCGTGGTTGACGCCTGGCTCCGGCAGGGCGCAGACGTACGACTGCGTCCGTGCGACTATTGAGGCGTGGGCCCTAAAAGGCAAGGCAGCGGGGTTTGGGCCGGGCTTCCCAACTGCTGCTGCGCCCCCGCGTCCTGCGGGCGGCTGCTGGCCATCCCCGCGGCCCTGGGAGCGCGAGCGAGCCCAGTCGCCTTGGCCGTGGTCTCCCAGGTCATCTGTGCGGCCGCCGCGCTGCATGGATGGCCTGGCCCTTGTGACACCTACACCTCCTTTGGACGTCCTGTCTTCTAGCGCCCTCTTCTCCTTGACCTTGATCGTCGTCACGCCGAGCTGTCGGATGTGGTTGTCCAGGCGACCTTCGGCCGTCTTGCTGCAGAATTGGTGTTTGTTATGATGCGTTCACGTGTGCGATTTTTCCGCCAGGTCACTCTCCCTGTAAAAGTGGTGGAAACAATGGTGAACCGTGTTTGGCTTGCGCTGCTGCTTCGTCGACGTCTCTGGCGGTGCCGCGCAGTGCCGCGCGGACGCTCAGCGGGGACAAAGAGGCCTGCCAAGGCCTCTTTGTCCCCGCTGAGCGTGGTTTCGAAAGCTTCCTTGTTGGTCTGCCGCTGAACAGCCGCCCACGACGTGCTCCTTACCAAGTGGTCGTAGGTGATGGCGTTCTCGGCCTGCGCTGCTGCGTTCTCCGTGTCGGCGGCGATGCAGGCCATTTTGTCGATGTGGTTGAGCATTGTGGCCGACGAAGGACGGCCACGCGAACTTGGTGAAGCTACTGACCCACTCTGCGACGGCATGACCTTCGGTCCACGATCGCGTATCTTCTAAGCCTTTCACCTACGGCAACGGCTTGCCCAGCTTCGCGGCCGCATCGCACAGCTTCAGCTGCTTGCTCGTGGGGTAGCAGCGTAAAGCTGGCTTGCCGAGGCCTGCGGCCTCGATGAGCGAGGTCGTGCTAGGTCTCGTCTCTGAGGAGGGCAAGCGCCAGCTCGCTGGAGAGTGTGAGCTCAGTCTGCACAAGCTGGAGCTGATCCTGAGCGGCGCCCGGAGGAGCCGCTGGGCTTTCTGCTCGCGCGGCTGCTGATGCTGCCGTGGGCAGAGCTCCTTCACGGTTCGACTGAGGGTTCCACGAACCCTTGGGGGCGCTGCCTTCTCTCTTTCGCCGCTGGGACTGCGCCAGACCCGGGTCCGTCCGTCCGACCCGATTGCTAGGGTCCGACCGTCCGGCCTGGTTGTGTTACCTTGTCGGGGGCAATTCAGGAGCTAGCATGAAAAAAACAGCCCCCCAGGAGAGGCACGTTCATAACGAAGAGGGCGGGAGTCGAGGGTTCGGGGTATACATGTTCAGTGGCTTACACCGTGCCGTCGACGCCTTGGGAGCCCTGGGTGCCTCTATCCCGCGGTGCCTTGTCGTAGAAGCGTGTTGGCCTCGTACGTCCATCTGGGGAGCCTCAGCAGTGTTAAAACGGGGCCCTCTTGGGTCGATTTGGGCTCTCTCGGTGGGCCTCTTCAAAATGGGCTCTCTTGGGTGCACTCTTGGTGGGCTCTCTTGGGGCCGTCTTGACAAGGGGTTCTCTTGGTGGCCTCTTCGGGACCTCTGGGGGCCGCTTGGGCCTCTCGGAGCTCTCTTGGTGGCGCGCCGGGGGTCTTGGGGGGGCATTTTGTGGGGAGGGTTCCCGGTGCCCCTTGGAGGAGTTCCCCGTCTTGGGCTCCCGCTGGGACCCTCATGGGAGGGGTCTCTTGGGCAGTCTTGGGCGCCTCTTGGGCCGTCACGGGGCCCTCTTGGGCCGTTTTGGGGCACTCTTGGGCCGTTTTGAGGCGATCTTGGAGGCCAGCGTGGGCTCTCTGGGGCCGTCTCGGGTCCCTCTTGGACCGTCTTGAAGCCATCTGTGCCGAAATCAGTGATTTCGAAAGCAGATGGGTCCGCTGGTGGAATGTGGCGGACCGTGCTTCTGGGGGAAGGGTTCTGGGAGGGGAGTTTTTTGTTGATAACGGCACATAGCGATTATGATGATGATGATGATGATGATGATGATGATGATGATGATGATGATGATGATGATGATGATGATGGTGATGGTGATGGTGATGGTGATGGTGATGGTGATGGTGATGGTGATGGTGATGATGATGGTGATGGTGATGGTGATGCTGCTGATGATCTTGATGATTCGATGATTTGATGATTTGATGGTTCGATGATTTGATGATTCGATGATTCGATGATTCGATTATGATGATGATGGTGATGCTGATGGTGATGGTGATACGGATGATTATGCTGATGCCGATGATGATGATGATGATGATGATGTTGATGATGATCATGATCATGCTCATGACCATGATGATGATGATGATGATGATGATGATGATGATGGTCGTTGCTGTGATGATGATGATGGTGAGGATGATGATGGTAATGATGATGTTGATAATGATGACGATGGTGATGGCGATAACGATGATGCTGCTGATGATGGCAATGGTGATAGTGATGCTGATGATGATGCTGATGACGATGATGATGATGACGATGCTGCTGATTCTGAGGATGATGCTGCTGCTTTTGAAGATGATGCTGCTGCTGATGATGATGGTGATGATGAGAAGGCTAATGATTACGAAGAGGAGGAGGAAGAGGAGGAGGAGCAGAGAAGGATGAGGAGAAGAAGGATGCTGTTGCTCATCGGCTGCTCAGGACGACGATGACGACGATGATGATGGCCCTGAGTCTGATGGTGATGATGATGATGATGATGATGATAATGATGCTGACGATGATGATCATGGTTAGTTATGCTGGTTGCTGCTAGTGATGGTGATGGTGATGGTCAGGCTGATGATGAGGGTGATGATGAGGAGGAGGGCGATGACGATGATGCTGATGACGATGATGATGATGATGATGATGATGCTGATGATGAAGATGATGCTGATGAGGATGCGGGTGATGGGGAGGAAGATGATGATCATGATGAGGATGCGCAGGACGATATTCAGGATGAAGACAAACAATCTGATGACGATGATGATGCTGATGCTGAGGCTGAGGATGTTGATGATGTTGATGATGATGATGATGGTGGTGATTATTATGATGATGATGATGATGACAATGATGATTATGATGATAATGATTATGATGATGAGGATGATGATGATTCTGATGATGATTGTGATTATGAAATGACGACGAGGGTTCTGATGATGTTGATGTTGGTCATGATGATTATGCAGATGATGATGATGATGATGATGATGATGCTGATGATGACGATGATTGCGATGATTTTGGTGTTGGTGTTCGTGATGATGATGATGGTGGTTGTGGTGGTGGTAGTGATCGTAATGATGATGATGGTTATGATGACAAGGACGATGATGGCTGCGGTTGCGACTGCTGCCGCTGGCGCTGATGATGAGTATGATTATGATGCTGATGATGATGATGGTGCTGATGCTGATGCTGATGACCATGGAGATGATTCGATGATGGTGATGATGAGATGATGGTGCTGGTATTTTTGATGATGAGATGAGATGAGATGAGATGAGATGAGATGAGATGAGATGAGATGAGATGAGCTGATGATGGTTATGATGGTGATGATGAGGATGCTTATGATACTCATGATGATGATGCTGATACTCATGCTGTTGCTGATGATGATGATGGTGATTATGATGACGGTGATCATGATGATGATGATGATGATGATGATGGTGGTGATAATGATGATGATGATGATGATGATGATGATGATGATGCTGATGATGCTGATGATGATGATGCTGATGATGATGATGATGATGATGATGATGATGATGATGATGATGATAAGGAAGAACAGGCGGAGGATCATGAGTAGGACGAGGGGGAGTACAGTGAGGAATTGGCGGGTTGCTAGTCCTGACGGAAGCTTTTGCTCTGGGCCTTATATTTTGGGCATAATTTGTCGTACTATCTGAAGGCCCAGCTGTCGGGCTTGGCAAGGGCTTCTCCCGCGGCGGCGGTGGGAGGGGCGCCCCAGCCACCTCCAACCATTCACCCTCTTTCCAACAGCCTCCCTCGTGGAGGGCTCTCGCATCTCCTGCCCCCTGTCGAGCCAGGTGCGACTCCGGCACCAAGTTGCTGCTGAGTCACGGTGCGCCGCCGCTCCCGCTGGCGCCAGCGGGCGGCGGCTATGCCATCCTCCTCCTTTACGACGGGGGGTCTTGACGGTCACTGTGAAGGTGTGTCCTGTGGCCCTCATTGGGCCACGGGCCATCAGATAACGCCTCAGGACGAAACCGGTCTTGGGGAAAAGTTTGGGATCGAGGATTCGCTTTTCTCCGACCCCCTGTCCGTCGTGCCAGTCTTCGTCTTCCTCGGTGGTTTTGCCAGGGCGTGTTTTCTCGGCCAGGTGGAGGCGTCATTTGGGCCCCACCTTCCAGGTGAGTCGTTTTCTCTAGCGATGAGGATTTTTGGTGGGGGGAGCGCCAGGGGAGTGACGGCGAGTAAGGCGCCGTGGCAAGGTAAGGTCGGTTGTTGTGGCGAGACCGTCAAGTGGCTCAGTCAGTTGAGCTCTGCCACGGGCTCATGGGGATGAGGAGTCGGGGGAGTTGTGGGGAGTCAGATATAGTTGGGGAGAAGGAGAGGAGGAGGAGGGGCAGGAGAAGTAAAAGCAGGAGGAGGTGATGTTGACGATGATGAGGAGGAGAACGATGATGCTGATGACGATGATGACGATGATGATTGCGGGATGGTGGTGGTAGTGATGATGAGGATGAGGATGAGGATGAGGATGAGGACGAGGATGATACTGATCATGATGGTGATGATTGTGATGCTGATGCTTGTGATGCTGACGATAACGATTATGCTGATGCTGATGCTGCTGATGATGATGCTGATGATGATGATGCTGATGATGATGATGATGAGGAGGATGATGCTGATGATGATGATGAGGATGATGGTAATGCTGATGATGCTGCTGCTGAGGATGATCACGATGATGATGATGATGTTGCTGCTGATGATGATGATGCTGCTGATGATGATGATGATGATGATGATGGTGAGGAGAAGGATGATGTGGAGGAGGATAATGAGAAGGAGGATGAGGCGGAGGAGCAGGAGGAGGTGCTGAAGGAGCAGGAGGAGGATCACGTGGCAAAGAGGGCGACCTCTGTCGCCATGCATCCCCCATCACGCGCGCGCGCAGGTCATGAGCACGCGCATCTGAAGACCCCTGGCGGCCCCAGAGGCAATCTGCGGCTCGCCCTTCCAGGAATCTGGCGCCAGCGCGAACTGCCACTGCGCGCTCTTTGAAGTTTTGGGCCTGCGCATCCAGTGGAACCTGGCCCCGCCCGGATGCTGGCACATCGTACTGCTCGGTGTACGGTGTGTGGTGGCCAGTTGCCCGAAGCCAACCGTCTCCCGAGGAGAAGGGGGCTGGGGAGGAGAAAAGGGTGGAGGGAAGAAGGGGGGGAAGGGGAAAAGAAGGGCGGAGGAGGAGGAGGAGGAGCCGTAACGCCGATGCTCCAGCTACCAGCGCGTGCTGCTGGCGCGGCGGCGGCCAGGCGAGCCTGGCGCCTGGCCACCACGGCCAGGACCCCGAGCCCGTGACGACCTTGGCCCCCTCGGGCCAGGGCCGAGGGCCGAGATTCCCGATTGGCGACGGCCTTGAGCAGAAGCGACAAGCGAGGAGGGAGGAGGGGGAGGAGGAGGAGGAGGAGGAGGAGGAGGAGGGAGGAGGAGGAGGACGGAGGAGGAGGAAGGAGGAGGACGGAGGAGGAGTGAGCAGGAGGGTGACGAGAAGTAGGGGCAGGAGGAGGTCTCTCTGGATGCTGCACCCCTGTCTGCCCAGGCGCAGAATGCGTCTGCCAGAACTGCCCAACCACGCAGGCGGAGCAGCTGGAGGCCGGCGCGTCGAAGGGGAGGGGACGGGGTTGGAAGTCGGTGCTTCGGACGAGTTCTTCGCAACGCGCCCCCCGCTGTCGCGCGCGGCGAGTCGTCAGGCATACCCTCTCTGGCCTCTCGGCCTCGCAAGGGCATGGGCCCCCCGGCTTCGGCTGCAGCGAAGCCTGCAGAGCTCCATCGAGCCGTTGGTGCGTAAGGCATTCGCCACTCCGTTTTTGGCGAGACAGCTCGGGCGGTTGTCGACCCCGGGAGGCGACCTACCTGGGATCTGAGTCTGCGGCCAGGGTGCGGTGCCAGGCCTGGTAGGGGAGGTGGCGGCGTCGGATGAGGGGGAGGATGCAAAGGATGTAAAAGATGATGGTGATGCTGACAATGATGACGATGATGCTGATGATGATGACGATGCTGATGATGATGCCGATATTACTGATGCTGCTGATGAGAATGATGCTGATGCTCATGATGATGTTGGTGATGATGCTGCTGCTGATGATGGTGACGCTGATGTTGATGCTGCTGATGATGATCATGCTGTTGTTGGTGATGATGCTGATGCTGTAGCTGATGATAGTGATGATTATGCTGATGCTGGTGCTGCTGAGGATGATGATGACGACGGTGACGACGATGGCGATGATGTTGATGATGATGATGATGATGCTGCTGCTGACGATTCTGATGATGATGACGATGATGATGTTGATGATGGTGGTGATGATGCTGCTGATGATGATGATCGTGATGATGATGCTGATGCAGTCAAACCGCATAGTAAGGGTGGGCAACCTTCCGAAGGGTACCCTTGCATCCTTGCACCTTCGGCCCATTCTTGGCCACTTTCGTTTCAAAAACGCTGACGTGGCCCTTCAAGGCCCATTGCATCCTTACCGCGCATCCTTACGACACGGGTTGATTGTATTGGTGATGTTGGGGATGATAATGATGATGTTGTTGATGATCATGCGGATGATGTCGATGATGATGTTGCTGCTGATGATGGTGATGCTGTTGAGGATGATGATGCTGCTGATGATGATGTTGTTGTTGATGATGATGATGATGATGATGATGATGCTGACGATGATGATGGTTGTGCTGATGATGAGGAGGAGGGCGATGTGGATGATGATGATAATGATGAGGAGGATGACGATGATGATGATGAAAATGATGATGATGTTGATGATGGTGGCTATGATGATGGTGGTGGTGATGATGCTGATGCTGGTGGTGGTTTCGGTGGCGGTGGCGGCGGTGGTGGTTGTGGTGGTGGTGATGATGGTGGTGGTGGTGGTGGTTGTGGTTGCGACGGTTGTGGCGGTGGTGGTGGTAGTGATGAGGATGTTGATGTTGATGTTGACGTTGATGATGATGATGATGATGATGATGATGATGATGATGATGATGATGATGAAGATGGATGTGGTTGCGGTGGCAGTGATAATTATGGGTATATTTTGACAATGCTGCTGATGCTGCTGATGATGATTTGGATGTTGCTGATGATGAGGATGATGTTGATGATGTTGATGCTGCTGGTGATGATGCTACTGCTGATGATGATGCTGACGATGCTGCTGATGGTGATGCTGTTGCTGATGATGATAGAGGCTTTCGTGTTGGCGATGATCATGTGGAGGAGGATGAGAAGGATGAAGAGGATTAGGATGAAGCGGAGCAGGATGATGATGCTGCTGATGATTGTTATAATGATAGTAATGGTTCTGCTGATGATGACGGCGACGTGATGATGGCGATGATGCTGGTACTGACGCTGCTGATGCTGATTGTGCTGATACTGATACTGACGATGATGATGCTGCTGATGATGATGATCGTGATGCTGCTGCTGCTGATGATGATGATGCTGATGATGATGATGATGCTGATGCTGATGCTGATGATGATACTGGATATGATGATGAGGGTGGTCGTGGTGGTTGTGGTGGTGATGTGGTGAGGTTGATGTTGGTGGTTGTAGCGGTGATGCGGACGGTTGTGGTGATGATGGTGATGGTGGTGATGGTGGTGGTGGCACAAGGATGCGACGGGGCGCCATGGCTAGAGGTACTGGGCCATGTATCCTCGCGTAGAAACTCCCGAAGCCACGCGGCGGAGACTGGGAGGCGCAAGGCCCACGAGGGCAAGGGGAGCTCTTCCCAGTACCAAGGCCACGGCGTCGACGAGGAGGCCAAGGCGGGAAAGGGAGGGCCAGACGCCGTCTGGACCAGCAGTGCCGTCGGTCGGGCTTGCTCCAGCCGCGTCCGCACGAGAGATTCTCTGCGACGGCCGCTGGCAGGCTCGCGCGCCACGGTTCGCAGAGGCGTCGGGCCGACGCCTCACCCAGTAGTGGTAGCCGAAGCTCAGCGCTGCAGGCCCACGGGCTCCTGTCGCGGGCTGGTCCTCGTTGGGTGTTGGCCACGCCGCAGCCTCGTCAGGACCATGGCCACCCTGTCGTGGCTCGTCCTGCGAGGGCACTCGTCGTCGAGCCCCGAGTGTCTCGTCGAGACCTCCACGGCCGCGCAGTGCCAGCAGAACGCGAACGTGCCGTCCATGGACGTGTAGATGATATGGCTTGGGTTGAAGGCAGGGCCCCACGAGCGTGGGGGCGGCGCGGGCACCACGGCATAGGGCTGCATCACAGTGGCAGCGCCGTTGTCCGAGGCCGTGGGGCCCAGGTCGGGTGTGGCCTGCGGTGCAGCTGGCCGAACGCGGGGGCGCTCCTTGGGTCGAAGCCGTCTGCCGGCCGCTGTCACTGGCTGGCCTCGGCGCCCGGCGAGGGGGCTGCTGGCTGCTTGTCGGCCGCCAAGGTTCGGGCGTCCGCAGGAGCGGAGACATGGCGAAGGCAGCGGGGCCGTGGGCCGTCGTTGACCGCGGTGCTTGCCGCTTCCACCGTTGCGATCACGATCCCCGAGGGTACCGGCCTGGCTGTACAGTCAAGCCGCTGAAGTAAGGAACAGCTTGGGTTCGGAAGGGGCTGGATGTTCTTGACGTCCTTCCGTGGCTGTTCCCCTGGCCCTCCTCGTGAACGAAGGCGGTTTTGCGGCCTAGAAGGGGCTTCGCTCCTGATCTAGCGTTCCTTGTTTCAGCGGCCCGACTAGGGCTGGCCGACGGTGGCGGCGTCCCCGCGCCGCAGTCCCCGTCGATGCTGGCGGCAGTAGGTCGACCGTCTGGTGGGTGCGCTGTCGTCGGAGGAGGGCTCGCCGTGCTGCGTGGTCGGGTCGTCCGCCGGCCGTGGCGTCCTCGGAGGGGACGTGCTGCAGGGTCGCCCTGCACGGGTTGCAGCGAGGCGCGCAGCTTGCAGAGCTCCGTACCGCCGTATCGCTCGAGGTGTGGAGTGCTGTGCCGTGGCGGCCGCAGGCCAGACCCTCGCATCCCCACAGGTTGACTTCGCAGACCCGTGTCGCCATGCCGCTGCAGTGGAGGTATTCGATGGCGTCGATGCCCTGGCTGTCGTGCCCGTTGGTCGCGGCGAGGGGGGAGTAGCATCGCCTCGCCAAGCCATCGGTTCACGGTGCAGGCGAGTTTCTCGATGCGGTCGGTCATCGGTTGCCTTTGCCAGGATGTCAGCATCATGAGTTCCTTACCATCGGTCGGCTGAATGGAAGAGGGGGAGGGATGGGAGAGGCTGGGAGGGATGGGGCGATGGGGTGCCTGGGGCGAGGAGATAGTGACCTCAGTGTTTATTTTTTTCTCGATTGGGGTGTCTGGAGCTGTCGACTCCTTCCTGGGGGGGCACTTGTCTCTTTACGGTCCCGAGCCTTAGAAACGGCTCCCAGACTCAGAACACGGTGAACATGTTTCGTCTTGATCTCTCTAACACGTCGAATGTTTGGGGACGGACGGACGGGGTGGTGGATGGGCGTGGCCGTGCTGGCCCCTCGCAACCGCGCCAGAAGTTCAAAGTGGAAGTCACAGAAGGAGGCCGTTATCTTGCCGGCGGTGAGGCGCCGCCGCGCGCCCTCAAGCAGTCCCCTTGGACGTTTTGTCGCTTCTGACTTAGTGCCTGCTGCCGCTGCCTCCTCCTCGACCTGCTCCTGCTGCTCCTCGTTCTGCCGCTGTTTTCTATCGTGCGATTGAGATATGATGGCCCGGCTGCACGTGAGAGTGACCCTTCGCTGGTGTGACCTCTGGTGCTGGCCAAAAGGGGGGTCGGGAAACTGTCATTTGGAATTGAGATCGGCGTTGCGTCGGCGCATGCAGCGTGGGATTGCGCTCGCGTCTGAGCGCGCCAGTGTTTAGCCCCCCCTCGCAATCGTCCGCAACGCACACGCGATGCATCCTCCGGCGCGCGTTGGTCTTCCAGGGGGGGGGGGCAGTGGACTGGGCGACGCGTTTTCGGCCCCAGGACTGGTCCCGAATCTCAGCCCAAATCCCAAATCGCCAGGTTTGGAAGTTCTCGGTTCATATTTTTGAATGTTAGCCAACGCGGACCCCTAACCATGAATGTCTACCAGCGCATGTTGTGCAACACAGGTGTAACAATCGATCTGGCGCAGTCTACAGCATCTGTTGTGCAATCTACGTTTTGCAGTATATGATGTGCAACGTTTGCGGAGCAATCGATTTGCTACAGCCTCTTTGGTGCAACTCGCCCTGTTTTTGCAATCGTCGCGCCCACTCCCCCGCAACTAAGTTTACAAAGCGCATGTGGTGGCGATTGCGATGACTGCTTGCCGTTGGCTGGCGCATCGCTGCGGCAGCGGTGGCGCGCAGGCGCGCGCAGAGCGGCCACCTGGTTTGGCGCAGCCGACGCGGCCGCGGTGGCGCTGACCGCTGGAGACTTTCCAGCGCGTCTTGCAGGCCGCGCTGACGCGCCGACACTTCCGTGCGAATCGGTGGCCCAGGCGGGCGCGATATCATGGCGACGTCGACAGCGGCAGACACGCTAACAATAGTAGCGGTACTAGTGGCGAAGATGACGATGACGACGGCAAGGCCGATGACGGCGCCGATGCTGTTCACGCCGATGACGATGATGGTGTCCACGTGTCGGTGATAAAGTGTTGGAGCGATTCCAACATGCGCGCGCGGCCGACGGGCGCGAGTGGCCCGCGTGGTATTATCGAATGGCCTTCGGCCCATCTTGCCACCATGCTCGGGTTGTGGGTAGGAAGCGAATTGGATTCTCGCTGGGATCTCGTAAGCGGCCAGTCGGGGGCCTCTGCGAGGCAATTGTCAGGCCTCGTTGGGCCGTTGTGGGCCTCTTGGGGGCCTCTTGGGAGTCTCTTGGGGCCTCTTGGGGGCCTTTTGGGGGTTTCTTGGGGCCCTTCGGGCGCCCATTGGCGACTCACGGGGGCCTCTTGGGGCGGAAACTTCGGATTGTCGGTTCGAGTTCCCTCTCTTGGGCCCTTTTTTGGGCAGTCTGGGGCCGTTGTGGGGCATTTGGGCAGTCTTGAGGCGTTCTTAGGCCCGTCTTGGGGACCTCTTGGAGGCTTCTTGGGCCCTCGCTGGGTGGTCTTGAGGGCTTTGGGGGCGGCGGTCCTGGCCCTCCCGTTGGTTCACCTTGTCCACCCGGGCAGTCCTCCGCGCGCCGCCGCGGCGCCCAGGCTGCTGCCTGCAGCCGCCCCGCGTCCGGGTTCCTGGGCCTGGTTTTGCCGCCCGTTCCCCTATCGTTTTCCGTCCACGTGCCGTCATGGCGCCGGCTTGCTGCCTACAGCCGCCACGCTGGGGTGCTGGGCTTGGTCCTGCCGCTCGCCACCTTCCGCAAACCCTGCATTTTGCTGGGTTCCCCCCCCCCGTTGGCGATACTTTTCGCCGCCCCCCCCCCGCGCCCCCACTTGGGGAACGCGCAGCCACCGCCTCCTGTAGAACCCCGACGCAGCAGCCGCCGCTGTCCCTGCCCGCGGGCCCGGCCGCGCCAGTTCGCTCCGGGCGTGACCTGTCCCCCTGAGCGGCCCTCGCCTTTTCCGCCCTCCCCTTCGGCCGCCCGCCCTCCCTTCGTTCCTCATTTTCGCATTGCGGCACAATGCGCTACAACGGTGCCCCCGATTTGTTAGGTCTTCCGCCAGCGCAGTCAGTCTGCTTAGCCGCCGACGCATTTTTAAAAGGGTCTTACATATCTGTTTTAGAAACGTGTTTGGGGATCCCGCAGGGTTGAGGGTCCCATGTGGTTTATTTATTTTCTTATAGTTTGTTTGAAGTATGTGTTTAGCGTCGCCATTTTTTTACATGGTAATCCATCTTTTTCATGTAAGGGATGAGGGATAACATCGGACAAAAAGGGGCGCGTACAATGGAACCCATGCCAAGAAACACCCCGCGTGCCTCCACGGTGCCCTTGGTTGCTTGGTTTTCGATGGCTTTGCCATGGAAAGGGCGACGATCCCACACCAAACATCATTTTACGTCCTGGAGTCTCCGGGTGGGGTTAGTTGTGGAATGTTTCTTGTGAGTTGGCTTCCACATTCTTTCGGCAGCCTTTTGATACATAGTTGTGTACTTAAACTGAATAATCCCCTGGCCTCACATGTATGATATATGCATATGTATACACGCATCTATGTATACATATAGGTCATCAGCATCAAACACAACACCAAACGTCTCACCGCCATGGTGTTCCCAACACGTTTTCGTATTGCCCTTAGGCGTGCATTGCCTCACTTTTTCCCTATGTGGATGTACGTTGTTGTTTTAACGGTCGTTTCCTATGCATTTTAAGTGTAAGTGGCTAGGGTCGGAAGTCGGGAAGGGAACGCGATTGCTGTTTTTTGCTGCACAATGTTCTTAGCGGTTTTCCTGTTATTTCTTTGTTGCAAAGAGTCTCACAGGGATGGTTGTCCCAAAGCGTTTTTGGTTTGGAAAGTAATTCGTTGGATTGCATTGTAAATGTCCCGTTCGTGTGTAATGGTAAATGTCCCAGTTGATGTTCACGCTACGGGAATAGGCCGGGAGATCTTGCTATTTGTTTTAGGGGGCTCGCAGGGATATGGTTTTCCTTCCTTTTTTTTCCAGGGGTCGCGCAGGGATGGTGGTCGCGAGGACCTTCCAGCGCGACGGCGCAAAATAGGCAGGTCCCTGAAAGGGAGGGGGTCGCACATGTATGCGCGTGCAAGCTTTGGGCAGCTGCTTCCGGCCCCCCTACGTCAGGCATGGAGTGATTCATCGTCGCCATCCCTGTCGCAGCCGTCGTTCTCGTGCTCGTTTTGTTCCTCGTCGTCCAAGCAGCCTACAGGGTCTTCGTCGGCGTCGTCTGGTTTTGTTTATTTGTTTTCCTCGGTCTGTGTCTCTCTTTCTCTCTCTCTCTCTCTCTCTCTCTCCCTCTTTCTCTCTCTGTCTCTCTCTCTCTCTCTCTAGATCGTTTGTCTTTTTTGTTGTTTTTTCCTCTCTCTCTGTGTTTCTCTCGCTATATCTGTTCTCTGTCTTTCTCTCTCTCTCTCTCTCTCTCTTTTTGCTCTCCCTCTCTCTTTCTCTCTCTCTCTCTCTCTCTCTCTCTCTGTCTCCCTCTGTAACTCAATGGGCCCCGTCAGATCCCTTGGGGCCCTAGAGGGTCTACCCTGCCCTGGGTCCGCTCAGGCCAGTGAGCGGGCCTTTTTGCTGCTTTTGTGAGTCCTCCTGGGCACTTCTCAGGGCGCCATTGGAGTAATCGTTTGTCCTCCCTCTTGCGACCACCAAGGTCGCACAGAAGCCACCTGGAGACATTTTGGGGAATGCTGCGCGGGAGTCCACGAGCGTGTATCAAACACAATATGCAAGAGATCGTGGCCTTGGGAGCCCGGACCCATTATGATTTGCGGAGAAGCGTGCCCCTGTGAACGCGGACCCAGTGTAATTTGCAATGTCGTGGCCTCGAGAGCGTAGATCCAGAGTAATTTACGCGGGATCGCCGTTTTCCGCGCGGACCGCCTCTTATTTCTATGAGCTATATGGCCCTGACACTGCGTAATCTATTCGGGATCGTGGCTTTGGGTGCGCGGATCGAGCGTCATTTTCAAAAGATCGCCACCTTGTAGGCGGATCCAGCATACTTTGCCAGGGATTTTTGCCCTGGGACAATGAATGTTTAATGTGTTGTGGTCTTAGAATCGCGAATCCAAAGTAGGTTACGAGGGTATGGGGCACTGGAGGTGCGGACCCAGGGTCATTTGCCAGAGATCGTGGAATCCATCGGATCCAGCATACTTCGATTGAGTTTACAAAAGGGGGTAGGGTCGTGGCCCTGGGAGCTCGGATCCAGCGTACCTCATCAGAGTGAGGGGGCCGAATGGTCATTCACTGCTCCTGGGTGTGTGGCTAACGTGGGACTCCGCGATGCGGATTATTGTTGCTGTTGTTGCTGTTGTTGTCGTTGTCGTTGCTGTTGAGTTTTCACTTCTGAAGAATAATTATTGTTGATCCCCCCCCCACCGGTGCATATTGTTTTTCTCAATCAAAATGTGCCCCTCGACGCTCGCACCCTGTTTTTTGACAGGGAAAGTATTCCTGCTCAAACTGGCCCCCTGGCCCCCAGGTTACAACAACAACAACAACAACGGCTCCCTCCTGAGACTTCCTTACAATTTAGCCAGGACCCCCGCTCCCGCCCGAGACTTCCTCGCATTTTATTCAGGAATCGCGCTCTCGCTTGGGACCTCCTTGCAATTTATGCAGGAATCGCTCTCCCGGCGCTCTGGAGTCGCGCTCTCGCTGGATACTTGCTTGCAACTTACTGCAGAGTGGCCTTGCGTTGGAATTTCCTGCCATTGCCCAAGCGCCGCGCTCCCGACACCCAGGCACCCAGGAGTCGCGCCCGTTGTGGCCCCATGTGCATGCCCTTCGTGGCCCCGCTGTTGCCATTTGTTTTCCCCATCACTATCCTACGTGGCCCAGTTGCTACCCTCAGTGGCCCCATAGTTGCCTTTTATGGCCCCGCATTATCTGCACTTCGTGGCCCCCGCTCGTTCGCGCTCTTCGTGGCCCCATACGCATTCCCTTCGTGTCCCCGCTGTCGCCCTTCGTGGCCTAC